CCCCCGCCCTGAGGCACCCCCCCTGCAGCAGCCCCCACTCCCCGGCCCGGAGATCCGTGCGGCAGCTCTGACCCAGGGGAACGCCTGGGCTGCCGGCGGTGTGCTGACCCAGGGGAACCCCTGGGCTGCCTGCCAGCAGCTCAGACTCCCTTTCCCTCCCAGTGCAGCGGACGCTGTAAAAAAAAAAAAAAAAAAAAACAATTGGGGGCGCCACTTTTTGGCACCCCCAAATCTTGGCGCCCTAGGCAATCACCTAGTTGGCCTAAATGGTAGCACCGTCCCTGATTACAGCAGTAAACCAGGGGAACTGGGTTTATTCTGTTGGCTCTGGGCACAGCAGGGCGGTGTTTTGCAATTGGAAGTATTGAGTAACCAGTTTTTAGTTGGACTGGAAATGTGTGAGACTGTGTAATTGAATCCCCCAGGAGTCCACTTGGCTTAGGGCAAGTCTATGCTACCATGCTATATTAGCGCAGCTGCAGCGCATCTGGTGGACACGCGCGCCGCTGATGGGAGAGTGCGCTCCTGTTGGCATAATTACTCCACCTCCGTGAGAGGCGGAAGCTGTGTCCGCGGTAGAGTGTCTCCTGCCCACAAAGCGCTGTGCACACAGGCACTTCTGCAGGCAAAACTTATATCGCTCAGGAGGGAGTTTTTTTCACATCCCTGAGCGACAAAAGTTTTGCTGACATAAATGCGAGTGTAGACGTGACATAAATCAGCTTACTTACACTGGTGTAAGACCCTTCTGTAGACACACTTAAACTGGTTTAAAATATGCTCACCCCAGTTTAATTCAGTTACCAAATTGAGCTAAATCAGAATGATGCACTTTAAACCAGTAAACGTGTCTACAGTAGGGGTTTGCACGGGTGTGACTAAACTGACTTTAAATTGGTTTTAATTACATCAGTACAAGTTGTCTAATGCAGTGGCTCTCAACCTTTCCAGAGTACTATGCCCCTTTCAGGAATCTGATTTGTCTTGCCTACCCCCAAGATTCACCTCACTTAAAAACCACTTGCTTACAAAATCAGACCTAAAAATACAGAAGTGTCACAGCACACTTACTGAAAAAATGCTGACTTTCTCATTTTTACCATGTAATTATAAAATAAATGAATTGAAATATAAATATTGTACTTACCTTTCAATGTATAGTATATAGAGCAGTATAAACAAGTCATTGTCTGTATGCAATCTTAGTTTGTACTGACTTTGCCAGTGCGTTTTATGCAGTCTGTTGTAAAACTAGGTAAATATCTGGATGAGTTGATGTACCCCCCCGGAAGACCTCTGCATACCCGCAAGGTTACATGTACCCCTGCTCGAGAACCACTGGTCTAATACAGAGAAAACTCCCGAAGGGTTATCTTAGCTTTGGGATGCCCAGGGTTTTGATGCCCAAACTGTAGCATCACAGATTCTAGTCCCTATGGGGGTGGTTCGTCTTTCCAGTGTTGGAGTTGATAAATGATGCCCTGTAGTTTATATGGGGGTATTTCACACACAGCCGGGGGCACAGCGGGGGACGCAGCACCCCAGCCCCTAACTGGATGACGCAGGACCACGTGGGCCAAATTTAAGCAAGTGGTGTTGTGACCTGGCACATGGCGTCGCAACACCACTCAGATTGGGGGCAGCCGGGCAGGTAACCTGGCCCCCCTCCTTATGCCCCTGTATGCAGTTGAGATCAGAGAAGATCCCATGGCTTTTTATTATAGGACTCGAGGGCTGTGCCAGGGTCCTTAGCCGAAATCCTTGCTCACCCCGCCTCAGCTGTCATGCACTATATTGTGTTCTAGGGGGCTAGCCCCCTGCACCCCACAAGGTAGGAGCATTTCACTTATGCTCTCTCTAAATACATTTGAAGCACTCTAGGGTTAAATAGAAGTTGCTGATCCGGATACAATAATATTATTCTATTATATTTCCATAGTGGAAGGAAAGACTATCATGTACACATGCAAAATAATCACTCTCTATAATACAGTAGACAAGGGGATTATGTCCCATGCTTTTGGCCCTATGTGGTTGTCAGTGCACTTTGACGGCTGCATAGAGGTTAAGTAGCCAATGGTGAAGAAGTAAGTAAGGAGGGAGGGGTAGGAGAGTTACAGTGGATGGCTGGGGAGAGATTGATGAGCGAAGATATATCTTGTAGGAGCTCCCAAGAGAAAAAGAATTCATCCCAGATTGTCTCCTGAGAGCGCGTTCCACATGTGGTAAACGCTGAGGCTATCTCCTGTTTCCCTTTGCTAAATGTCGACATAGGTCAGGTTAGACCTGCTCTACCTGTGTTCAGCTAATGTGTGACATTCTTCCTCTGCAGCCAGGGGGCGTTCTTTCCTGTGTTTGAAAAACGTCAAAGAAACGCCTTCTGTGCTGCTCTGTGTACCTGAAAACCCCACCGATCAGCCAGGGCTGGGGAAAAGCACATTAAGTAGTAGTACAGCGGCACCGAGAGGCCCCTGCGCGTATAGGCGCTCATCGCGCTAGGTGCTGTGCATTCCAGTAAGAGGAGACAGTCCCTGCCCCAAATTGCTGATGGGCTGAAATAGACAAGACAGACAAAAGGTGGGTGAAGGGGAGTGTTGTTGTTCCTGTTTATGGCTGGGGACCTGAGGCACAGAGAGATTAAGGCCTTGTTTACGAACGCAAGTTGTAGCGCTTTATCTTAACTGGGATAGAGAAAGCAGCACAACACACAGTGTGGATGCAATTACGCTGGTGGAAAGGTGCCTTCTACTGGTATAGCTATTCCTGTGGGGAAAAGCAACGAAGGATTCCAGTATAAGACACCTTTATACCAATATAACTGGTAGGGGCGATACTGATTGAACTATTTCATTAGAAAAATGACATCTCTCACGAGGGTCACATTCTTGTTGGCTTAACTGTGCATAGACAAGGCCTCAAAGTGACTTGCCCAAGGTCATGTAAGGAGGCTGTGACGAAGCTGGGGCAAGAACTCCGGTCTGTCAAGACCTACACTAGTGCTTTTCCTCCATCTTTCCACACCGTCTTTCCTAATCTGCAAATTCAACTCTGATCAAGGGCATTCAGAATCTCAACAGTATCAAACCCTTAATTTATTTTATTTGTGTGTGTGTATTAAAATATACGCTTTTTTTCACTGTTTTTGTGACTTCGGGAAGGCTTTTCTTAAATCCCTCTCACTGAAGGCTCACTATAAGCCATTACCAGTGCTTCTCACTAGGAGGGGGAGGTTTGATTCTCAAGTGTCTTAACTAATCAGATGAATGTTTCAGAGAAAATTCTTGGGAAGTTGGACTTCCTGCATGGGCCAGCATTTCACACATCTGCCGCTAGCCTAGATGCAAATATTTAACTTTAACCTTGGTTCCCCTCCCACTCTTTTAAATAAAAGATCAAGAATCCATGATGGGAAAAAAAAATCTCTCCCTCCCACCCCCATTCCTGGACAGTTATGTAAAAGGAACTTGGTTGGACCAATGAATTTGAAGTGCCGGGTGGGGACGGGTCCAGGAACATTTTTTTTTTTTCTGCTGGGAATGGGAGGTTCAGGTTTGCTGTTTCCTCCCCTTTACCAGAAAGTGCTGAGCTGGCTTATCGTTAACGAGGTCTCTTGTTTGTCTACCTATCGATCAGTTTGCTAGTCCTGAGTGCGCTGGCATAGCCTGTCCCTGGCTGCAGGAGAAGAAAGATCTGTGGTCAGGAGTTAACAGGCGGCAGTCAGTTTCCAGAGCACTTTCACCATTGCAGTCTTTGCAAAGTCCTTGTGTTACTGGGGTGAGTCTGCTGGGTGAGACCAGTGTGTGTTTTAATCACGTTTATTCACGATGGGGCCGTGAAGATTTCCTGGGGCTCCCTGTGTTGATTTAGTGAAAACACTAGCGCTGAAGAGGAGACTTTTCCTTGGACCCCGTTAGATGAACTGTGGTAGGAGGGTGGGACCCGCTCAGCCCGCTGCCGTGCAGGGGGTCAGAGTCCAGGTCCTTTGTTCCAGAACCAGGCCCTGAAGTGGGGCTTGGGGAGGAGGAAGGGAACGGATGTTGGTGCAAGGGTCACTGTGTGTTGGGAGAGAGGGGAGCTGGCTGCTGTAGCCAGGGATTCTGGGAGCCTGTGGAGAAGCCTTTGTTTCCCATCTCTGCCTACAAAGTGGTACTTGGGGGCTGCTACATCTCCACTTTCCATCCATTCCCAGCACTCTGTGCTGGCACTGCCAGAAACATTTCATTGACCTGCCAAGCTCCAGGCAGAAGCTGGAGGAGAGGGGAGATCGCACAGGGATGGGGTGGGGGAGAGTTTGGGTTTTGTTTCTCTTCCTTTGCCTTTATCCTCCAAACCTACCAGCTCTCCCTCACTCCATTCCCCTTCTCTCCTCCCTTCAGACGCAGACCTGCCCACTCCGACTCTCCTTCTAGGTAGCCTTGTCTACACCGAAAGATGCCCAAGGTTGACAACAAGGGCATCTGAGCCAGTGTTGAATGTGGTTTGAACAGCAAGTGTAACCAGGACAAGCTGGTTTGGAAACTGGGGTTCAAACCAGCTCGGCGCGCTCAGTCCAGTAATCAGAAGCCTTGCTCTGCCTGACACACGTGGCCAGAGCATGTTAAACAGAACATGGCACACTCCCCTTACTGGCACCCAGCTCCCCACCCTGCTGATGTTTTGGGATGAGGAGAGGTAAACTAGCCCAGAATTGGCAGAGCAGGCAGTGGGGTCAGGGGAAGCTGGCAGCAGATATGAGGCTGTTGGGGGAGAAGGAGAAAAATCCTAAATACCCAACGCTCCCATTTCATGCAAGAAGCTGAACAAGACCCGTCCTTACACTTGACCTATATGGCCTGAATGGGTACTGTTGGGGTCACTGACACCAGAGGAAACAGGCTTAAAAAACCTGCATCCTTCGTTATGGATCATTTACTGTATTGGTGGAGAACGGGTGTTTCCTGTCTGAGGAGAATGAACCAAATACCCTGGAGTGACGCTCTCTGCATGGTAGAGCAGAGCCCTGGTGTAGTCTTGCTGTAAAAAGAAAACTGGGTTGTTTCAAACCCTAAATGTGAATGGAAATATTGTCGCCTGTTTTTTTTTTTATTTCTGAAATGATATTTTGCCAGGCCCATGCACTGGAGAAATTCATCCTGACCAGCTGCTGCAGGAGAGCTAGAAAGTGAAACCGACTAGTTTCATTGCCCCAAATGCAGAATGTGCAAAAAGCAAACGGGGTCTGTGGTGTCAAATACATTTCCTGTTTCACTGAGACACTTGAGAAACTCGCTCAGTAAGGCCTGGTCAAAACACTAGTTTTGTACTGGTGTAACTATGTCAGTTAGAGATATGATGTTTTTACCTAAGTAGTTAGGCTAGTACATAATCTACTGTGGGCACAGAGTACAGGAGTACCTATAGTGGTCTAAAGCATTGTTATACCAATATGACTGTGGTCGCACTTGGGGGTGTTCTCATGCTTTAATTAAACTGGTGTAGTTAAAGCGACACAACTTTCTGTTGTAGATAAGGCTTAACTGTGTGCAATGCCATGAAAGCCCTGGATTATCTCAACTGTGCTATCATTGTGGCTGCTGTCCAGTATTGCACAACTCCAGGAAACTAGGTGAACAGCGCGAGATAACAACTGATGCAATAGATTATGAATCAACCGTTGTGCTGTCTTCGTAACTTGTCCTTCTGGGTTCTCTCTCCTGGTTTCCCACATCACTGCCTTGCACAAAGAACAAAACCTGTACTTTCGTCTAAAAAATTGCTTGTATTTTGGTCTAAAGCAAACAGAAGCAAGAAGGAACAAAAGCTAAGTTTATTTTGGAGCGTGGACTGTGTTCATCTCTTCTGTTATAGGCTGTAGCAACTCTGGGAACAGAATGGGGGATCTCTGCAGACAGGCAGAGTGCTTAGAGATATAAAGGTGCAAGTACACACAAAAAATGCATCACTGATTCATAGCTACATATACTAGACTTGTTTCATCAGACTGATTGGTCCATTTTGGCTTATTGGAGCCTTATTCAGTGCCAGTCATGGGGACATAGTTACATGCAAGTCTTATGGCTGCATATTATCGAAGTGAACCGAAGAGCTAGAAAAACAGGACTACCAGTTGTGGCGCCTGTCTCTGAAGCGCTGTGACAATATTGATGCACGTCGGTGCCAAAATGGAAGAAAAGCCCCAAGCAGGAAGTAGCATCCTGCATGCATTGACGCACATGTTTGTTTGCAGCAGACACTGAAACTCGCGTCAGAATGGATTTCATTTCCACAGCTCAAAGCCAGCGACTCCCACTCAGAAACCTCACCATGTAGGGGTTAGTGCTGACGCAGCAGGAAGGTCTCCAAGGCAGGTGCTGTGTTCTTCTTTATGTTTGTCCAGAGCCCAGTCCTGATAGGGGCATGTGGGCCCTGTAATGCAAATATTTGCTGGCAATAATAATAAACTCTGTCAAACGGGGGGGAAGTGACGTGGCTTCCTGCACTAATGCAGCCTTATTGTCCTTTGCAGCCAGCCACACACGCACGCAGTGCTAGCCCATTGGGGGCCCTAAGCAGGGATATTTTGGGGGTCCCCCACATACAACACATTCTAAAAAAGTGAATAGAGGGCCCCCTTGAGCTGCTTGGGGCCCTAAGCAATTGCTTAGTGTGCTTATGCCTAGTGCCGGCTCTGCCCACTCTATTGCTCAGTGCTGATGGCATTGATCCCCTCTACTCCATGAGATCTGGTCTTCCTTGTTGACAGAAGCCATCTGGTTTATGCAGCATCCGGGACCTCAGCTTTAATCACTCCCACCTGTGGCAAACCAGGAGAGAGACTTTTGGGGAGAGGAATCCAGGTGAAAATTCCTGGCTCGAGTGCTGTGGAAGAACCAGCACCCGGGGTTGTGGTTTGTGGCATTATATTCTGTGCTAATGTAGCTTGATGTTTCCCTTCTCTTCTCCCATCCTCTAGGTTCCCTGGGTCCTTGTCTCCTCCCCCAGGATGCTGAGGGCAGCCCTGTGTGCCGTCTTTCTCTTAGGCGCCCTTCCATCATTGGCCAAGGAGTCCCGAGGGCATGTCTCAGTCGTCTTGCTGGGAGCCACGGGGGACCTGGCCAAGAAGTACTTGTGGGAGGGGCTGTTCCACCTCTACCTGGACCAGGTGAGCAGCGGCCACAGCTTCACTTTCCACGGGGCTGCGCTGACGGCGCACGAGCCAGGGCAGAGTCTGATGTTTGAGGTGCTGAAGAAGCTGGCCTGCCCGTCGGACGTGTCCCCCGACAGGTGCGCTGTGGTCAAAGACCAGTTCCTCAAGCTGAGCCGGTATCACCAGCTGAAGACGTCCGACAACTACACTGCCCTGAATCGGGAGATTGAGACCCTGCTCCAGCAGGAGGGGCTGGAGGAAGCCGGCAGGATCTTCTACTTCTCGGTGCCGCCCTTCGCCTACGCGGAGATCGCCCGCCACATCAATGGTAGCTGCAGGCCTGGCCCCGGAGCCTGGCTGCGGGTGGTGCTGGAGAAGCCTTTTGGCCATGACCTCAAGTCAGCCCAGCAGCTGGCCATCGAGCTGAGGACTTTCTTCCGGGAAGAGGAGATGTACCGGGTGGATCACTACCTTGGCAAACAGGTGAGCAGACTTGGAATGACTCTGTGGCCATGCTGGATGGGGTCTCGGTGGGGTGGGAGCTTGGATGGTGGGAGGGCCCTAAATTTCAGGCGTTCATTTAATGTGGGCAGCAGGCTGCCAGGTGCACCAATCACAGCCCAACTGAGCTGCTCACCTCGGTTGCTGGAGCAGTGAAGTGACCTAGAGACTATTAAGTCTTATTATCACTGTTCATTTGGCTGGTACCTTGTCCCCTTCATCACGATGCGCAGGGCTGGAGACTAATATACAGCTAGCTGGGACCCAATAAGGCTGTCTTGGTTCCTGTTGATCTGACTGTCTTGTGAAACGAGGGCCACATTGGCTTCTCCTCACTTATTAATACTACTGGTCTTTGCCCAGCTGCGGAAAGGATCCATGGCTTATATTCAGCATCAGCAAAATACACCTTAGTAAGACTGGCTGGTCCGCCCGGCACATGGACGGTAAAGGGAAGGCAGGGAGGGGGTGGGGTGCAGGCCACAAGCTGGGCATTTCCACCCTCCCTTTGGGTCTGAGGGTGCGGCAGGATTTTAAACATGCTGGGCAGAACCTGGAGCCTCCCCCGCAAAATCTGGCTGGGTCCTCGTGTGCAATTTGTATCTAACAAATGTAGGGTTGGTACAATAGTATTGTGAACTGTAGCTGTCGCTCGAGGGCCATGTCGGGTGTGTGTGACGTCACTCGCAGGCCATGATGTCCCATTCCCATCAGACCTATGGAGTTTGGAGACACTCGTGGGTGGCTTCATTGCTCCCACGTTTCCTCTTAGCGAATGCCAGCCTGTCTGCGCGCTGCATGTCCCTGGACTGTGTTACCCTGCAGTGCCATAGGCGTGCATGGTGCTTTGCAGATGCAGAAGAAGGCAAGGTGCCTGAAGAGTCGAGAGTCTGTTGTAGATCAGGGCAATACAAACAATTAAGGACTAGGTGCAAGAGTACCAGAAGGTGGGTTATCAAGGTCTATGTTTTCTCCCCTGCTCCCACCCCAACCATTCCTGAAGGGCTTATAGCTACAGATCTCCTTAGGCAGCTTCTCTCTTCCCTTTCTGCCTCCAAGCAACAGGGTTCAGCCCCATCAATGAGTTTTGTGCTCTTGGCTTCTAGTTTTTGTCTTGACTGGCCTGTCCTTTGCTTAATAACGGAAGCAGGTTGGCCTTGTGGCTACGGCACAGCCACTGTGAGTCCGGACTCCTAGATTCATTTCCAAGCTCTGCCTCCTAGAGGCGCTGTGACTTGTCCTCTCTGTGCCTCAGCTTCTCCATCTGCAAATGAGGATGGTCCCTGCCTGCGAGTGGATCCCTGTTTATGAAGCGCTTAGAGCTCTTTTACTGCTCTCACGGCATATCTGGATCCTGCCCCCTTCCCTGGTGTCTGAGGGGGTCCATCTCCCCTTGGGATCCCAGGCAGAGCAGTTCAGAGCATGTTTCAAACCCTGCCCTTGCCAAAGAGAATGTGTCCAGCCCACTATTCCGGGCTGCAGCCGAGTGACCTTGCAGTGACTAGCCATTACTCTTCCCCTGTACTGCCGGCCCATCTCTCACCGAGGAAAATGCAGAGGCCGGACCTTTTCATGCCAAAGTGATAAGGGTCAGGCTTTTTTGTTCTCCTCCTCCTAGCGAGGTGGCCACATATGGAGGTGTGTGAGATGCAGAATCCATCTGGTCTTCCAGTCAAGGTCAGGGCTTGTATTTCGCTGAGTAAGCAAACCCTTCCCTTCCACGCAGGCCCAGCCTCTTAGCACCAGCTTCTAGAGGAGGCTTTTAATTTGATATGATGTGCTGTCACTTTTTTTTTTTTTTTTTAAATGATCAGCCAATTTTTCAGGGGCTGGTGCATCTGTGCGAGTGACTGCAGCAGGGACAGAGTGGGGAGGGGGTGTAAAAGGCAGTGAACGTAGCCCTGCGGCAGAGGAAGTCACACTTCTCCTGCTCTGGGCTGGAAGAGGGTGTCGGGGCAGGAAAGGGGTTCATCACTTGATTCTCTTGAGAATCAGGACTGTTCCCTCATCCCCACCCCCATGAGATCCTAGCCCCCAACCTATGGCCTATATGCTCTCTGTTTTTGACTTTGTTTGTCCTTTCCCCTGCACCAGATATTGCCACATCCAGCAGGTAAATTGCTGGTACAGACCTGCTTGGGGTCAGGTCCCCTAATTGGAAGGCAGCTGACACACAATCCAGGTGATTGTATATCTGCCACACTGGGAGACATCTTTCTCTCCCTGTCAATCCTGTGTACCCAGGGGCTCTCTCTTGGATCTACTGGGATCTTTCTGATAAGGAACTAAGAGGGGATCCCCATTCTGGTGGCCCGTTGTGCCGCTACCCCATCTTTTGAACTATAAACATGAAGTAGGGAGTGGTACCTGATCAGGATCCATCCTGAGCTGGGAGACCAGTGTTAACATCCTACTTGAGAACCAGTCCAAAGACGCAATGCTTTAATGTTTCCCACTTTGTCCTCAGTTTCTTCTGCCTTCTTCCAGGGGTTCCCAAGGAACTCCAAATTATCCACCATCCACCCACAGTCCCACTTCCCAGCACCTGTTATCCCTGTGAACCACTAGTTTGGGAACAGCTGGGTTGCGCCAGGTACGTGATGGTTAGCTTTATACGGGAGTTTTCCTGACTTTGTGCCTCTTGACCTCCATGGGTTTTCAGCACATCTAGCTCTGATCAGGCCGCTCAGCTAGAGATACTGGAGTCCTCTACATACAGAGGTAAGTGTCGCTATCCACATGTTACGGATGGGGAAGGGAAGATACTGGCCCAAGCTCACCCAGCAGGCCATTGTCAGAGCCAGGAACAGAACCCAGGTCTTCTGACTCCCAGCCCAGCCCCGGATCCACTAGACCACAAGTGATTTGAGGGCCACAGTGCTGCGCCGTGGTGGATCAGGTTGTTGAAGACCTCAGGTGACCTTTCCCTTCCCTCCCCTTCCCACCCGGCCTTCCTCAGCCAGCCGACAAGGTGTCACTTTCCGTAGCCGTGGAGTGGGCTGAGCTGAAGTTTCACTCTTGACCCCAGAACACAGGGCTCTGAGAACATGCCGCTGCCCTGTCCAGATGTGGCGTCTGAGCAGCCGTATGGCCCCTCGAGGGAACGCGTGTGAGGTGGATGCACTGCCCTGGCCTCAGTGTGCTGGGACATCTCCTTTTCGAAATAGCCTTATTCCATCCATGGCCCCATGGTCCGGTCACAAGGGTGCGTGTCTGACTTCAAGGAGAGCATCTCTACTGGAATTTTTTTTGCCCTAAGTGAGAACAGATGGCTCAGTGATGTACGCGGTCCCTTTGATCCGCCTCAACTCCTTGGAACCCCGGCCTGGAATCTTAGCAGGGTCTGACTCAGCCATTTGCCCTTCCGAGGGAGAAAGGCTGAGTGTCTTGTGTTTTGTGTAGGAGTCTTTCCGATGAAACTGTAAAACGTTTGCCTTGTCCAGGGAGGTCTTTTGTGTCTGTCCCACGTGGACATTAGAGACCCCCCCCCAGGTACTTTCTGCAAGAGTCGGGCTTTACCCTGCAGTTCTTGTGCCGATTTCCCCTTTTTCTCCCCGTGCCGTGTGCTCCCTAGACCTCAGACTGGGCTGCGTTTCCAGGCTGGATGGAGCAGTGGGATGGGAGATGCTCTAGAAATGCTGCTGGCTTTGGATTTTTGTTTTTAATGCTGATCTTTCCCTCCCTCCCTCCCTCCCTTCCTTCCTTCGCAGGCTGTGGCCCACATCCTGCCTTTCCGAGACCAGAACCGACGGTTTCTGGACCCAATCTGGAACCGGCATCATGTGGAGAGAGTAGAGATTGTCCTGAAGGAGACTCTGGATGCTAAAGGTCAGGGAGCCTGGGCTGAGCTAGCCAGGGGGAATCTCTCAGTACCTGGGTGGCTTTAGTGTATCTGTGTGAGAGCGACCCCTGTGGCTGAATGTTGCAAATGCATAAGAAGGAGGCCAGGTGGGTAGCTGAGCGGTGTCGCTCTGCATGGGCACTTGAGAGGCAGAAATTTGATTCGCAGTCACGGCTGTTACCTCCCTTGGCTGGAGAGGGAACCTGCCCCTTCCTCCTGCTGCAGAGTTCGGGAGTCTTTCACATCGATGCCCAGAGACCCTGAGTTCTGCTGCAGAGGGACTTGGAAAGGGCCTGGTCTGGGTTCAGGTCTCATTTGGTGCTGTGGTGTGAAAGTTTAAATCAGGGTTCGGCTGCTGCAGCTTTTGCCCGAGGGAGCGACTCGCACCCACCAGGCCGTGCTCATCCATCCCGGCACAGGGGCGTCTCTCAGCAGCCGTTCGGAGAGGGAGAGATGCTGGATGGACGCAGCTGCAATCCCGGCCTGCAGGGCTCCAGCCCCACGCTGCAGCGCTGAGCGGAAAGCACTCCGGGTTGGGCTGCCGCCGGCAGCAGTTGTGGGCACACCAGGCGCCCTTATTTCTGCAACATCAGGATTGTGTGTCTGCTCCCCTTTTTCTCCCTCCCCTGCTCCTAGCCACCACCCACGCAGTGTTAAATAAGATAACTCTTAAAGCCTGGTCATTGATCATTTGACTCCCCCCCCACACACACACACAGCCCCCTGGCTTCCAGAGAGGCTGCAGCATTGATTGCGTTAACAAATGCGCCTTTGGATTAGAGAGAGGGAGACAAACTATATCAAACCAAAGGGGAAGCCCAGGGCAGGGGCAAGGTCTGCAGCGCTTAGCCTGCCCCTGACCAGCTAACAGGAGGCTTTGGTTGGAATCACCTGCATTTAATAGGACATCGTCCTTCTCCCTCCCGGCCCCAGTAAGAAATCAGCCCAGGGCAAGGCACGTCCTGTATTGAAACAGGTAAAGCCCGACTCTTGCGGAAAGGGCAGGGCTTAAGTTGATGGTATGGGGGCGTATTCAGCGGCTCAGAGTGGGCTATGCATGGAGTGGTGGATGGAAGGGGTCCAGTGTAATGCAGACAGCTGCTGCTCTGTTGACCTGGTCCGTTGCTGCAGAATTGCGAGGGGTAACCGGGTTTGTTCTGATCCCCCTGTTAAGGCTTTGATGTGGATTCACACTCCAACTAGAGACCCCGGGCTCTGCTGCCCTCCCCCCTGCCCCTTGAGATGTGCCCATCGTTGCTGGGGTGAAAGAGACGCCCGGCACTGCACGGTCTTGCGTTCCTTTCCCAGCCCGTGGGCTGGACGCTGATCCCAGGCTCAGACTGAACACGGACTGTGCTGCCGGCCTGCTCAGACAAAGCCCCCTCCCCGCCCCCACTGAGCTCAGGAAGCCCCACGCAAGGCTGTAATTAGGGTTGGCCTAAGTCTACATTGGTGCCTGAGGACAGAGAGGATTTGGTGCCTCCTCTCAGCCCTTCCGCTCACCCAGCTGGCCAACCCCCCCAGCCCCCACTCTCCTGTTCCTTCCTCCAGCGGAGGTCCCGCTTGCTGTTCCAGTGAGGGCAGCCGGTCTCCTGGGAATCCTTTATCAGCTGCGGCAGCTTCTCCTGGGAGGCCCCGCTGCAGTGTGCGGGGCTGAAAGGAGTTGCTGAGGTGCCCGCAGAGGCAGCTGGCGTCGTACCCAATCTGGGGCTAGAGACGGCTCCGTCCCTGGGCCCGTCCCTTCATTCCCTCGAGCACCAATATTCAAGCTCCTTTCACGTGCTGGGGGCTGCAGGGGGGTTTCTTTTTCCTGCCGCTCTGACTGCTCGTCTCTCGCCTCCTCGTCGCACTCAGGCCGCACCAGCTTCTATGAGCAGTACGGTGTCATCCGCGACGTGCTCCAGAACCACCTCACCGAGGTCCTGATGTATCTCGCCATGGAGCTGCCGGCCAACATCAGCAGCACTGAAGACGTTCTCCGGCGCAAGCTGCAGACCTTCAAGGCATTGCAGGGCCCGGAGAGCACCAGCGCGGTGCTGGGTCAATACCAGGCCTACGCCAGCCAGGTGCGGGAGGAGCTGCAGAAGGCGCAGGACTACGTCAGCACGACGCCGACCTTTGCAGGTGGGGGCAAGACCCAGGCTGATGATGTCATAGGGCATAAAGGCTGAGACAGGTGGGGTGGGGTTAGCGCATGGGACTAGGTGACGGGGAGCGGCCAAATCCTAATCCCAGCTCTGTCACTTCCTCTGTGGCTGTGGGCCAATCACTTAACTTCTGTCTCTGCTTCCACAGCTGTAACACGGGGACAGTAGCTGCCTTGTTTATTTCTAGGGCATCTGTCCCTGTGGGACCTAAAGAGCCCAAGGTCCAGCTGCCCAGGGACCTATAAGGATCTGTTGGCCCGTGAAGCCACATGTGGAATTATTACTATAAATGTTGGGGGGGGGGCGTTAGGAATTCATTCTATAGTGGCTTAGGTCCCTCCCTTCACTGTATGGGGGCCATTCCATGTCTCCAAAAGGTAAGAACCGGGGGGTTTCTCTGGGGCCGGTGGACCTCACTTCATCACAAGGCCATCTCTGGCCATGCTGCACGTGCTCAGAGTTTTGATTCTTGGCTAGGGAGTGACGTGACGGCTCATCCAGAGAAGCTGCTGTCCTAAGGGGTAGCTAGGCAATCTGAGGAACGTGGTGGGCTAATCGGGAGGGAGCAAGGCAAATCCTTGGAGACCGGGAGAGCAGAGACTGGCAGGGTGATGGGGAGGACTGATTGTGGTGCCAGGGAGACTCCGGATGCCAGGACCCACGCAAGGAGAACAGTGCTTGGGCTCGGGCCTGAGGTTCCCCTGTCATTTCAGGTGTGTTGATTCAGCTAGACAGCCTGCGGTGGGAGGGAGTCCCCTTCCTCCTCACCTCTGGCAAAGCCCTGGACGAGCGGGTAGGCTACGTCCGCGTCCTCTTCAAGAACCGGGCCTACTGCACCCAGCGCGAGAGCCTGAGGGAGGCGGGGCAGAGCCAGTGTGGAGCCAAGCAGATCATCTTCTACATCGGGCACGGGGAGCTGAGCTGTCCTGCTGTGCTGATCAGCCGGAACCTCTTCAAGCCCATCATGCCAGAAGGCAGCTGGAAGGAGGTGGCGGATCGCCCGCAGCTGCGCCTCTTTGGGCTCCCGCTGTCTGATTACTATGTGTACAGCCCCGTGAAGGAGAGAGAGGCTTATTCTGTCCTCATCTCCAGCATCTTCCATGGCAGGAAGGACTCCTTCATCACCACTGAGAACCTGCTGGCGTCTTGGGAGTTCTGGACCCCACTGCTGGACAGCTTAACCCAGCAGGTCCCGCGCCTGTACCCGGGGGGCCTGGAGAACCAGCACCTCCTGGACTTTGAAATGGTGGGCAGGGAGCTGTCCTTCACGCTGGAGGAGCCGGTGGAACTGCTGCACATGGATGGGCAAAAGCCGGGCGACTACAGAACCATCCAGGCCAAGTTTCGGCAAAGCCCCTTGGTCTCGGCTTGGCCGGAGGAGCTGATCGCCCGGTTGGCATCGGACATTGAGACGGCGGCGGCTGAGGCTGTGGCACGCTGCGGCGAGTTCCACCTGGCCCTATCGGGCGGCTCGAGCCCCATTGTCATGTTCCGGCGGCTGGTGACCCACCACTACGGCTTCCCATGGAGACACACCCACTTGTGGCTGGTGGACGAGCGCTGCGTGCCGCTCGCCGACCCGGAGTCCAACTTCCGCAGCTTGCATGACCACCTCCTCCAGCACATCCGGGTGCCCTACCTCAACATCCACCCCATGCCGGTGCACCTGAACCGGCGGCTGTGCGTGGAGGAGGACCGGGGGCCAGAGCTGTACGCCAAGGAGATCGCAGCGCTAGTGAACAATGCCAGCTTGGACTTTGTGCTGCTGGGGCTGGGCTCCGACGGGCACACAGCCTCGCTCTTCCCGCGTTCATCCAGCGGCCTCGAAGGGGCCCAGACGGTGGTGCTCACGGAGAGCCCCGTCAAACCCCACCAGAGGATGAGCCTCAGCCTGCCTCTCATCAACAAAGCCAGGCAGGTGGCCGTGCTGGTGATGGGGAAGGGGAAGCATGAAATCACAACCCAGATGAGTAGAGTGGGGCAGGAGCCCAGAAAGTGGCCTATTTCAGGGGTCAACCCCAGCTCTGGCCAGCTGGTGTGGTACATGGATTATGACGCTTTGCTTGGATGATCTCTTGGTTTATCCTCCCCTCACGCCTGTCCCATTGCCCCCTGGAGCCCTGATTTTCCAACACTGCACACAGGCTCCTGTGTTTACAATAACAGCTTCTGCTCTGAACAGTCCCTCTAACTTTTGTGAAGATCCATTGGCTGTAACGGCTCTGTCATCTGAGCTTAGAAAGGGGGGCGGCTCAGCGCTCAGAGATCAGCGTTGTATTCCTGACTTTACCCCTGACTGCTTCTGGGACCTTGGGCAAGCCACGTCGCTGCTCTGTGCCTCAGTTTCCCCCATACCCTATGGGGTTAATAATACCTACCTACCTCGCAGGAGCCATCCGAGACCACTCTGATTAATTGCCTGCAGAGCTCTTCAGGATTCTCAGAGGAGAGGAGCAGAGAGAAGCGCAGTGTTACTGGCTGCTAATGTTCACCTCTGATCAGACAGGCTGACAAAAGCATTTTCACAGTGGCCAGAGGCCCAGTCACAGTCCCATTCAGATTGTGCTCTAGTCCCGTATGTGCCAACCCTTTACTTCAGCAAAATACTGACCATTTTCCCACTCTCTTCCTCTATGGAGCTCTCCTAGGGCTGGTCTACACTGGGGGGGATCGATCTAAGATACGCAACTTCAGCTACGAGAATAGCGTAGCTGAAGTCGACGTATCTTAGATCGACTTACCTCGCGTACTCATGGCGCGGGATCGATGGCCACGGCTCCCCCGTCGACTCCACTTCCACCTCTCGCCCTGGTGGAGTTCCGGAGTCGATGGGGAGCACGTTCGGGGATCGATTTATCGTGTAGACGAGACGCGATAAATCGATCCCCGATAGATCGATTACTACCCGCCAATCCGGCAGGTAGTGAAGACGTACCCCTAGTCTAATGTCTTCTGATGCAGTTCCTGTTTTAGAGCTCTCCTGTATTGGCATGTGTGGGGCCTTGCTTCATTGTAAGGGCATGATTGGGTACAGTCATTGGGCACTGGAGTTTTCCAGACCCTGCCTGCTTGCCTTATGCCATCCACAGGGATTTGTCTCATATTAACCTTTGTCAATTGCATTGGCCCTGTTATTGATTCCACCTCCTCCCGCTCTTCCCCCGCCGGCCCCCCCCAAACAAAGAGAAACAACCAGTCCCTTTCCCTACATGGCTGTGCTTATGCAGCCCTGGAAGCTGCAGACACCCCGGGACCATCCCTTGTGTGACCACACCGCCCCCTCCCTGGCACTGAGCTGTGTGCTGAGTGCCAGTCTGAGGCTTTAGAAATTGCCCTGGTGCACAGGCGTAGTTGTCAGTAGCAATTGCTGCTCTTCCTAAATGGGAAGCCAGCACCCCAGGGGGATGGAAAAGGCAAGGGATTTTTAGGTTTTCAGGATTATGGGGATTGGGCTGAGAGCATCGTGGCTCAGCTCCCGTTATTCTGGAGATGGCATTTGTCTGCGGCGTGACGAAGCTCCCCTTGTCAGAGGATCGGGGTGGAGGGCAGAGTTAGCTGCAGATGAAATTGGGTCTCCTTAAATATCCTGAGGCGCCTTTGTGTTGTACTCCCCGGGAAGAGCCCTCCTCCGCCCTCATGGGCAAGCTGCGGCATTGTTCAGCAGCTTATGACATCTCCCCGCGAGGCAGCTGTATACAGCACAACGGCCTTCAGCAGTAATGATCCCGACACCCCAGCGCTTACGGCAAGGATACTGCCGCGACCCGGGCTGTTACTCCAGGGCACTGGGGTGCTGTTGGATAAGGGGAGGTTATTTTCTGTTTCCTGGGCGTTTTCTAGCCAATCCACACGTTGCTGTCACCGCATAGGGAGGATACGTCCTTTGAAAACATCGGAGGGGGGTCAGAAGAGCATAGACCAACTGCACAAAAGTGGGGGGGTGCAGTCCTGTTTAGTAAAAGGGGGAAGAATCTTTAGAACCCTCTTTCCCCCACTGCCTAAATTCTGCCTTGCCCATATGCTGCTCGTCCTTTATATAAGCCTTAGCCCCATATACTCTTGTGACACTATGGCCTGCTTTAGTGGGCTATTTACTGTGGAGTGCAGGAGAAACGTTCTTTTTTTAGATAAGGAAACCCGGATTCTGCCGACTGCACTGGGAGATGTTGAGCTGCTCTATGATGTGTTTGGGGGGCGGAGGTAAATCCACCCAAGCATTGCAGAGCCAGGAGTACAAGACAGAGCTGTAGGAACCCAGAATAGGGACATTCTGCCCGTTCCTGGCAAATCCAGATCCGCTGGTGTCTGATCCGCACCCAGCAATGCCACATCCTTGGCTGGCAGAACTGGAGAAGGGAACAAAGTGGCGGTTTTCAGAAGGATTTTTAGCAGCCCCCTTTTGGGGAGGGTGAGTTGCTGGCTGTTGACTCTCTGATGTTTGCAGCTAGTGAAAGAATTAGTTGTCCAGCACTCCAGTCTTGTCGGAGTCTGGGTGGATGTCGTCAGTCAGTGACGGGCGCGACTGGAGTTCAGTGGAAAAGCTGGAGTCTGACACAAGGTGGCGCCATGACCAAACAAACCAAGTGGTGATAAATTGTGTGTATTTTCCAAGTTTGAGCCTGAAACCAGGGGAGGCTGCTCCTGTCCTGCTTGTGAGATTCTCAGGAGCCAGCCCTCGTGACCGACTCGGCTGTGAAATGCTGATGGAGTGGGGAGGGAGGAAAAGTCTATCCAGGGGTCTGGGAGGTGGATATTGGGGCCAAATTCTGTCTGACTTGCACCCCACTGAACTCTATGGACATTGGTGGAAGAGGGCAGTCAGGGCACAGGCAGACCGCTAGCCGTGTTGATGCTGCATAAACTGGGAAGGAGTTGGGTTCACTCTCATGGCTGAGGGGCTAGCAGGAGCAACAAATAGGAAAAACACACTAAAATCAGCAGCGAGGATTCAGAGTATAACAGGGGCTGCAGGACATTTCTTCCTGTTTTTTAGAGTAGGACTTCACTGTAAGCTGGTTTGGAGTTCTGAGAATGTATATATTTGTTGCGGGGGTGGGGGGCGTTGTCAAGGTGCTTCAAAGAGGGAAGGCATATGGCTAACGAGAAATATCCAGCGTTAGCAAAGTTAATACCAAAAAAACCTTGGAAGGGATGTAAAACCCCTCCTCTGCTGAGTCAAGACAGCCTCTGACTACTAGAGATCAGGATGAGATGTAATGTGGGGGGTCAGATTATCCCACATCTGCGGGGGGGTCTCCTGCACCTTCCTCCAAAGCATCGGATGCTGGCCGTTGTCCGAGACGCGGGGGACATGGGTCACCTTCAGTCTGGCTGTTCCTGTGCACCTGTGTTCCCACTCCTGGTCATTCCAAATGGCTTTTATTGTAACACGCAATCCTCTTTTAATGCCGTGGATAAAAATAAAATGGGGAAGCTCTTGAGAACCAATCCTTTGTTTTCAGACCCGGGGCAAACTAAGGTGGGAGTGAGAGCAGTAAGCTGGGGTGGGAGACGTGTTCTGACCTCAGTGAAATTCAGAGCTGAGGCCTTTTCTCCATTTGGGCTGCTTTGATTTCTGCCACTGAGGTTGTTGCACCAGTGCAAGCATCTAGTGCGGAAAGACCAAGCTGCAGTTTGCACTGGTGCCTCTGATCAATCTGGGATAAATGGCTCTGCTGCAAGTAGCCTGGCTTGTCTACATTAGGGAGGTTGCACTGGTGTAGCTACATCATCGGCTCAGATCCCGAGGAGACAAAGGCTGTCTAATCAGATATGAGCGTGGATTGGAGCCACCTCCTCTCTGGATTATTATGGCAGGCGGGCCTACCTATCCGCCTCAGAGCAAAGGGTACGCGTAAAGCATTGTGTAGTGGGGAAGCCCTGGTGGTTGCTTTTAGAAGGGACGATGGTGTAGCTTACTGGCATTAGAAAAGGTTTTTGGTCTTCCTCTTCTCCATCGTGGCTCATACCATCCGCTACATTGTTTTCTCCAGACAGAAAATCCTCCCGCTTCTGAAAGCATTAACACAGACTGCCACCACCATCCATAGGACCTTGTCACGGGGTGCTCCCTTAGCTACCCGCTGTGCCTCACTTCCTGGCCTGCTTCCATGGTCCCTCAGTCCCAAACCAAACAGAGGATACAGGTATGCTGCAGGCAGGGCTTTCCATACAGCTTCTGAGCTCCCCCCTTCCTGATCCTCCCAATTACTGCCAGTTATTCCAGTCGTGTAGTAATTACCCCCCCGGTGCTCATAATAGAAAAGTGGTTAACTGCTTCCCGCTGAGCCTGTAGCCTTTCCTTGTCTGCAACAACGTCAGTGCTCAGGGTGGTGCTGCTCGCCCTCTGTCACAGACCTAGAAGAACACAATTCCCCCTGCTCTGCCGGCTTGAAGTGCCAGGTTGCTAACAAACACTGCTAATTCCAAAATGTGACCCCGGGGCTGAAGCAGCCGTGTAGAGGAGGAGGTTTTAGGCCTGGGATGGCTGAAAATTTAAAGCTTCATTTTTCTTTGTTAAACAAAATGAGCTGTTTTATCTTCAGCTTCATTCAAATGGCGTGTGTGGTGCAACAGGTTTAATGTAATTACAAAAAAAAAAAAAGGGGGGGGGGTTCCAGGAAAATAAATGTAATGGCTAATGGCTATCAGCAGAATTTCCCTCCAGATCGGAAGGGATTGTGACATTGGAGGAGTGGCTTAGGGGGTGGAGTGTTTCCTTGATTCTTTTTTTAATAATTTGGCTGAAATTTTTTTAAATGACTAGTGGTTTTGAGGTGCCCCACTTGACACCTCAAGGAGGCCTGATTTCTCAGAAGTTGAGTGCTCAGCTCTTTCTGAAAATCGGGACCTCTTAAGATATCTTAGGTTGGGCACCCCAAAATTGTGACTAAAACCTCAGGTTTCCCTTTATAAAATTCCAATAGAAACTTTGTACGTAAGTGTATCCTTCGTTAGTAATTGTGCTCTGGAATATATCTGTGTTTTATACGTCACTGAAGATCTTTTGATGTATTTCTCAGGGCGATGTCTTTTTCTGAAGCATCTGTTTTAAACTCTTTAATCCTTTGTTTGTATTTGCCAAATGGAAAATAACAGAGTGGGGATAAATATTTTTAAACCTCCAAAGTTTACCAGCAAGAGATTTGGGGAGCAGGATGTGGGGGAGGGAACGTGAAACTCTAAAATAAGTCGGACACTGAAAAAGACAGTGTGGTAAAGATCTACTTCGTTCTAGGCCATGGAATCAGAGTGCTAGTTACATTTTGGGAAAGCTATTAATAGAAACTGTTGATAGATTTTTATTTTCAGTGAATAGTGAGCTAGGAATGCTGTGTGCAGTTGTGTTGCTGAGTGAATGTGTGTTAAACATCCTTGCAAAGAGGAGCCCATTGAGTGACTTTTTGCAGTCATTTTATCACGCCACCAATTATTTGTATTGTCACCGCGCTTTTTTTAAAAGGAAGAACTATTTCTTAACAGTGTTCATACAAGGCAATGATGTGACCGTTTATATACGTTTTTACAAAAATCTAACACTGGAAACGGGCCATTTCTCACATGGTTTAACTTTTATAAATCAAGCTGTAAAGAGTTCTTTTCCTGTTAATAATGAACCATAAAATGTTTGGGAATTGATGGAAATTTATTTTTAAAAAACAAATATATATTTTTGAATAATAAAATAGTTTTTTGGCCTAAAGCT